CTGGAGCAGGATCAAAGTCCAGAATGTTGAATGTTGAATTAAGAATCAACATAACAGCACTCGGGACACTCCTATAAATGCCCAGTCCTCATTTTCAGCAGCATGCAAAGAGTTCAAATTCTGATGGTACCAGTAACCGTCTGATTGTATATCTGTCTCATCCTTCCCCTGAGTGTTGAGCGTTGGACAGATCCCCTGGTAACTCTTCCCAGCACCATTCTCCTTAGACCTTTATGATCTATCTGCGCCTCTGAACTGTTCCTTAGCTCCCAAAGGGGCCCTCACAATGGGAAGTAAAAGCAACCAGCATGGTATTCATACTTAAGTGAAAATGTGTCTCTTTGAAAAAAAATTAGTCTAGCACTGTATGCACTGTTTGTCTCAAAGTGTGAAAAACAGGCTGTCTAAAATTGGTACAGGAATTGTTTTGGAAAGCAAATGCAGCTGGCAGACTTATTGATCACATCTGTGAATTGGTATCTTTAAGAAAAAAATTATTTATCAGATACATCTCAAGATGTGGAGGCAAGTCTTTTACAGTATTTGATGGTACAGTGGAGCAAACATCGTAGGGTGTTCAATACCGTGACACTTGACAAGAATATACGGGGATTTCTATCCTGATGTGAAAAATAAACTATCATAATTTTTCAGAATGCTTGCAATTTGAGCCCTAGTTATGAAGATCCTGAGTATAATATAACTAGAATGTCTTTGCACTGGAACCCACAGTGGCATAAAAATAAAGGAAGACCCGAAAATACATGGAGAAGGAAGCTAGAGAGTGAAGTTAAAAAAGATGGGGAGAGCTGCGTGCGATAGCGAAGGATAAAACAACTTGGCCTGAGTTGGTTGAGGGTTTATGCTGCATTGAGGGTTAGAAAGGCAGATGAAGAAGGAGAAGAGGTTATGATCACCAGTCAGGTGGGCGCGTTTTGTTGACCCTTGAAACACAAGATGAAGACATTGCAATATAAAGTAAAGAACATTTAACAAAATAATATTGGCATTCGTGTTTTGAATAAACAATTTAAGTGTGTTTTTTTTTTTTTTTTTAAATTAAATAAAAATCAAGGCAATGATAGTAAATTTTGAAAGTATATAGCACCAACACTATATGTGCATGTTATCTGGTTTATATGTTTGATATTTTTATAGCAACACCCTGTCTTTCCGTGTCTCTCCTAGTTTGCTTCAGTCTATGTTTGTTGTCTTTAAAGCTTCAATAAAGTTTACCACTAAACCAAATGATTGTCTGTTGTCAGGGTGACAGAATTTGGTGTTGGCTAGCTTGTCTTTGAAGGAAATTACTGTGTGTATTGATTTATCTATATGTTTGTCTGTCTTAATGTCTGATCTTTATTTCTGATTCACTCTCTTTCTCTCTCTCTCTCTCTCTCTTTCTCTCTCTCCATAAAAATTAAAAAAAAACACCAGATGAGATAGTTTGGACATGTGTTAAGACTACTACCAGATAGTGAACCACAAAGAGCCCTGTCACTTATGCATAATGGAAGCAGTTCTAGAGATCGACCATATAAACGATGGACTGATGGAATATTCAAAGCTATAAATACCTGCATCTACATAGAACATACCAAGGCTTACTTTGGAGGCCTCTTCAAAATCTGATGCTGAAAAGCAGAACAGGACTAGAGAAGAGGAAGCAGTATTAGTGTTGATGTTTTTCAGTGTGTGCACCAGTTCAATTCAGTGTTTGGTTTTCTTGTTTATATATCAGTGTTCATGTTATCCTGTGTATGCATGTGTTCAGTTTTCTTGTTTATATATCAGTGTTCATGTTTCCTGTGTATGTATGTGTTCAGTTTTCTTGTTTATATATCAGTGTTCATGTTATCCTGTGTATGCATGTGTTCAGTTTTCTTGTTTATATATCAGTGTTCATGTTATCCTGTGTATGCATGTGTTCAGTTTTCTTGGCTTGTTTATATATCAGTGTTCATGTTATCCTGTGTATGTATGTGTTCAGTTTTCTTGTTTATATATCAGTGTTCATGTTATCCTGTGTATGCATGTGTTCAGTTTTCTTGTTTATATATCAGTGTTCATGTTATCCTGTGTATGCATGTGTTCAGTTTTCTTGTTTATATATCAGTGTTCATGTTATCCTGTGTATGTATGTGTTCAGTTTTCTTGTTTATATATCAGTGTTCATGTTATCCTGTGTATGCATGTGTTCAGTTTTCTTGTTTATATATCAGTGTTCATGTTTCCTGTGTATGTATGTGTTCAGTTTTCTTGTTTATATATCAGTGTTCATGTTATCCTGTGTATGTATGTGTTCAGTTTTCTTGTTTATATATCAGTGTTCATGTTATCCTGTGTATGCATGTGTTCAGTTTTCTTGTTTATATATCAGTGTTCATGTTTCCTGTGTATGTATGTGATATTGTTTGGTTTTCTTGTTTATATACCAGTGTTCATGTTTTCCTGTATATGCATGTGTTCATGTTTGGTTTTCTTATTTTATGTATCTATGCTCATGTTTGTCAGCATCTGTGGCTTAGGCGTTGCAAACGCGCTTCGTAATCCCGGGGTGCCGGGTTTGAAACCAACCAGGAAACGGCTTGTCTTGCGATGATTTCGACAGTGGTACCGAGAGTTGACCGTTTCTAAAGCAATGGCAAACTACTGATTGTATAATTTGTTATTTTGAAGCCCCACCCTGGCTTTTGCAGGGGGCCCTAAATATAGCTGGCTCATAAATATGGCCTAATGGCTGAACAGGGTTTCCTGGGCCTCTTCACGGGTGATCCTCATCCGCATGGTGGTACTTTGTGTCACCGGGTGTTTATCGCTTGTGTGATGTCCTGGTGGGGTACAACAAGACAGAGAGAGAAAACTGGAGATATGCTTATAATGGAGGCACTGTTGATATGTTTCTTTCTCTGGTGAATGAAAACTTATGGGAAAGAGTATGTTCATGTTTGATTTTCATGTCAGTGTGTCAATTTCACGTATCACCGTTCACATTATAAAAACCTTATGTGGAAATGAGGGAGAGGGGGCAGGGGGGGGGGGGGAAATAAAACGTAGCTATGTTCTTTGTCCGTGGTCATGCCCAGTTTAAATGTTCATGGTTCTTCTTTTTTTTCTTTTGTCGTCTTACTGATACAAGGTTGTAGTAGAGAGTCGTGGCATATATGTATTTATTATTTCTTGTGTAGTAGCAATCAATTCCACCACTGCCGCCTTGCTAGGCTCGTCGCGTGGCTGGGCAGTAAAAAAAAAAAAACCAATCTGACCCAGGGGTCCCCAATGGAATTTTTGTGAAAAACCCAGCAGAGCTGAACACAAACCCAAGCAATACAAACGCAAAGGAAAAAAAAAACCCCACATTGTTAAAAAGTACAACTTTTATAGTTACGAAACGAAACAATAACCCACTTTTATATAAGTATTTTATTTTTAAAACCTAGATTTAAACATTTGAAACCAAGGCATCAAACAACAACAACAAAATCTGGGGATAAAAATTCAGTATTGGTAGCCCTGACCTCTTCCAGGCTGAAACCTCGCGGGTTCAGTTTTTCAGCGTGTACCACGAGCAGATGGGGTTGATCTGGCAGGCTACTAATATTGTACTTTTCACCTCTCTGAAGCAGGGCTGCTAATGATGGCTTTTAACCCCCAGATTTTGCGTTTTTATTTGACGCATTTGGTTCAAATTTTAGAATTTTTTTTTTTTTAAATATATCTTTATATAAAAGTTAGTAAATGTTTTGTTTCTTAACTATAACGTTTGTACTTTTTAACAATTTTAGTTTTTTATTTTGCTTTTGTTCTTTGCTTATATATTGCTTGGATTTGTGTTTAGCTATGCTATATTTTTCACAAAAATCCCATTGGCAACCCTGCTCTGAAGCGAAGCTAGTCAACCCAAAAACTGTAGGCCTCAGTGTCCAGCGCACACCCTTACATGGTTGTCTTTGCATGTATTAATGTTTATGTTTGGTTTTCCTGTCTCGTTTGTTTTGGAATCTTGTCACATGTTCATAATTTGTTTATTGGTGTCCATTGCTTTGTCAGGTTTGCGCGCTGTTATCCCTTGTGGTTCGGTCTCTCTCCCCCACCCCCCACTCTCTCTCTCTTTCTCTCTCTCTCTCTCTCTCTCTCTGTGGAACGGCTAGCCTTCTGCCTTGAGCGTCGCACACAATACGAGCTCCATAGCTTCAGTGATGATCCCCAGGTATCTCTGTGAAAACTATACTCGTTAACTGAAACGAATCCACAATCTTGATAACGCGAAACAGACGGCTTGACCAATTCGCTACAGTCAGAATCCTTGTTTGGTTATCTTAGCTGTTAACAACAGGACAGCGAGCCAGGGCACCGCAGATAGAAGTGTTATACAGATACAACAGTAACAGATCCAGAGGTCGACCACGCAGATTATGGACGGCAGAAATATCAGACACTTGAAAATTACTTTATACTAAGCAAACAGAAGGGCCCGTTTTAGAGAGTTCTTTCGCGAAGCATTCCAGGAGTAGAGGAAAGAAGAAAAAGAAGAAATGTACCGAACATATGATGATAAACATATGATGATAAACATATGATGATAAACATATGATGATAAACATATGATGATAAACATATGATGATAATGTATTTACCAGTCGGTACTCGATTGGGATGGGAAAAGGGGGGGGGGGGGGGTAAGGAGGAATTGATTGCCATTACTTCCCAGGACATTACCAGGCATTTATTTTAGGCTGAGTCTACTTGGGGGTCATCGTTATTTTTTAATTAAACTTCATCTCTTGACATTCGGACGCGCAGGTAAGTCTCCAGCTACTAAGTTATGTGACTAAGGAATGAAAAATCTTAACGACAACGCATTATTGTTAGAACGGTTTATTGTTTTTCTGTCCTGGCCAATCTAAAAAGAAAGTTACATTGTGTTACTTTGAGTGGGTAATTGTTTTACATGATTACTACCAGGAAAATAGAGCCTTTGCTGCTGTGTCGGTCTACCACTAGTGATGGTGATGATGATGAGGGGGTCCGTGATGATGATGATGATCGTGGTGGAATCCATGGTGTGGATGTGGATGAGGCCTTCCAAGGCTGGCTAAGGCAAGTCCAGCTCCGATTCCGAGCCCTAGGCCAAGACCAGCAGGCTGTAGACGAATCACATTAGACTGTCACACATACATCACTAGTGCCGAGTGGTTGCAGATTATATTTTTTTTTATATTTTTTTTTTACGTATCCAGAAACCATGAGTTGTAAACCCTTTGGCTCGGTACTATGGATATCGCAACCCTTCGGCCTTGATTCCATTATAGGTACCGTTAATCTGGGAGAAATGTGGCTTTTCTGCCTACCCCCGGGAGTGAACCCGGACCACAAGGAGTTCGTCACCCGGTCGCCGCGATCTCCTTCTCCTCCACCTTCATCCCCTCTCCTTCTTCTTCTTCTTCTTCTTCTTCTTCTTCTTCTTCTTCTTCTTCTTCTTCTTCTTCTTCTTCTTCTTCTTCTTCTTCTTCTTCTTCTTCTTCTTCTTCTTCTTCTTCTTCTTCTTCTTCTTCTTCTTCTTCTTCTTCTTCTTCTTCTTCTTCTTCTCCTTCTTCTCCTTCTACTACTACTACTACTACTACTACTACTACTACTACTACTACTACTACTACTACTACTACTACTACTACTACTACTACTACTACTACTACTACTACTACTACTACTACTACTACTGCTGCTGCTGCTGCTGCTGCTGCTGCTGCTGCTGCTACTACTACTTTTTCTTCTTCTTCTTGTTCTTCTCTTTGTTCTTGTTCTTCTTGTTCTTCTTTCTTCTTCTTCTTCTTCTTCTTCTTCTTCTTCTTCTTCTTCTTCTTCTTCTTCTTCTTCTTCTTCTTCTTCTTCTTCTTCTTCTTCTTCTTCTTCTTCTTCTTCTTCTTCTTCTTCTTCTTTTTCTTCTTAGTCACAATTAAAAGGGTAGTTAGCACTTTATATTGTTCTTTACAATTACGCTCTTTGCCTTTCTGCCCAAATCCGATTTCAGCCATTTCTCAATTATTTGACGTTTAATACCTCTTGTTTAGGATCACCGGGTTTACCGCTCACTTTCAGTGAGGCCCCGAAACCCAGACATGATCTGGCACATAGCTGCTCATATTTCACTCATTCTAACACTTTCTCAGTTTGTGGGCTCATTATTTCATAGCCTCGGCTATATCCCTGATACCTGGCTCTCATGTATGGCTCCTACAAACAGAAGGACCCGAGATAGCATCTGACCAAACCATCGTCTGCACATCCCATACGTCTAGGGCTCAAATCCGCTTTCAAGACTGATTATTATTTCAAAAGTGTCTTCGGCTCGCATGTTGACTCAACCACGGCTTTCTTTAGAATACGCCTTCTATCTGTGCTCCGTGACGTCACAGGCAGAGTCCGTCTATTCTGACCGGCTGGAGACGACCGTGACTTAACCTAAAATGGATATCAGGTAATATCATGGTAAGTAGAAGCCGCTGAGCTGATATTTACCTGTTGAGTACAGACTGATTTACAGACAGCATTACACATAGGACACTCCAAAGGGCGTATAAATGGTTTAAACCACAAATATTTGTCAGTCCCATGTAGTAGATTTTTTCTTAGCACGATAAAAGTCTTCGAAATGTTGTCCCTAATAGCTTCAGATCAAAAGTTTACATTGTATTCTGATTTTTCTATTTATGCTGCCCCTCCTCCTCTTGCGGTGCAGTCTGATGCGGCCGCGTCTATGTATCATAGCACGGCACGGTCTTAATTTTTGTCACAAATGCACACACCTTTACAGTGCTTCCTTTCTTCTTTAAGGAACGGTACCGAACACGGAGACCAGCCCACACTGGACTGCAAATTACTTCTTAACCGTCTAGTGGTGCCCCAATATAACTGTGCTATGAAACTTTGTATATGACTGTACGACTGAACGAGGTTTCATGAATTTGTACCTGTTTCCTTTCACTGTGATGATCTATTTGCTCTTCCGAATTGCACACGTTCTCCCAGAAGGCCCAAACGACCAAGTTGTGCAGAGCCAGTCAGTCTGTCCGCCTGTTCATTTCCCGCCACACCAGTATACCCCAGAGAAAAGATGCAGACAAGGCTCTTCACCCGTGACCCCCGAAGTAAAGCATGCCTGTCCTAACCTTCCTCAGTATGCAGACAAGGAAAAAAAAGTAGAAGCCAAAAAAGTATTTACCCTGAATACAGGTGGCCTTGTCTCATATACAATTGTTGTATTCTGCGGCGGTGGAGGCGGCTGGGTCGGCGCAGTGTTGATGACGTAAGTCACGTTAGGCTGTGGTGGAGGCTGTGGATAGTTCTGCTGTGGGTATGGGTATGGATAAGGTTGTGGAGCAGACTTTTCCGGTGGTGGAACACTGCCTGCTGGGTACGGGTAGGAGGTGTCTGGAAATACAAATGAATGTGCCAATTAGCAAGAATAAACAGCTGCATATTTATATATATATATACATATACATACAAATGGTATCAGACATCTAAAGGCGTGTATATTTCGCATAGCATCATCTTAATGATCATCATCAACACCGTCATCATCATCATTAGGTGCTGAGCTGGAAGCATGCGGTGCCTTGTATCGCTATTTTCCAAAACGACCAGAATCTCAAACCAAACCACTGCTCTTGTCCAGCCACATCAACATGGCGGCTGGTAGTGGTGCTTTGCTTTTTGAAAAAAAATCGTCAATTAGCATCCCCGAAGAGGGGGCTTTAAGTTATAATTGTGACTAGATTATGTTGGCCACATAAAAGTTACTCTTTTTTTAAAAATTATTTTTGTTTTTATTTTATGAGATCTATGGGCTGGCGGCTATATCTGGTGTCAGCGAGTTGATGGCAGTGCTGGAATGTCGGTTCTTTATTCATAAAATATAGCATTATAAAGAACCTTTTTCATTTCCTTTAGGCGTATTGGGCATATAAGGCTAGACCTATATTGTATGACCATCAGCACTAGGTGGATGATGTGGTCAACATCACGCCGGCCGCTTTTACTTTCCAGGACTGTCCCTAGTAGCTATTTAACACTGGGTCGACCTGGAAGCCAAGGTCATTTTCAGAAAGAAAAAAAAGTCTTGGTCAGTCGGGACCTGAACCCAAAACCTTCATATCCGCAGGCGAGCGTCTAGCCACTTCATCATGGCGGCTCCATAGGATTATGAGCACTTGTTTAATTTTATAGCAGGTGACAGACAGTTAACGTGATCTAACTTCCTTTGTTGTTGTACTGTTTGTGTCGCAGAGAAAAGACCATCAAACCACCAAGAAACTTATCTACTAGTGTGGGGATTACTTCCTAACGTATGTATCAGTTCGTGGGCTGACATCCTTCCATGTCTGGTATCTTCTCGCGTTCTCTTTCTTTGCCTCTCTTTCCACAAATCATTCCAGTTGTCGCGGTATGATCCCCATTCTTTCTTCTCATAATAAGGTGGTCATAAAACTAGCTGTCTTTTTGATAATTGTGATAAGTTGCCTTCGACGTCATCCAGCTTTGTAGTTCGATTTACATTCAGAACACAGCACTTTGTAGACACTTAAATGTCACACAACACAACATAAGTAACGCAAGGCAACATTCCGGTCAGAAAAGGTGGACCCTTTCTATGACGTCACAGAACACAGACAGAAGGCATATTTTTTTCTACAGGAGGCGTTGGTTTAAAACATCTGGATTTTGGCTGTCCAATGAATTGTCATCTCTGACACCTCAAGACTGACTGACTTTCTACCCCACTAGGACATCACACAAGCGATAAACACCCGATGACACAAAGTGCCACCATGTGGATGAGGATCACCGTGGAGAGGTCCCAGAAACCACGTTCAGCCATTAGGACATATTTATGGCCTGGCTATATTGCGGCCCCTGGCAATAGTCAGGGTGGGGCTTCAAATAACCAAAAATTTCCCTTTCCAGGCCTTTCATTTTACAGACACAAACGGCACTTGTTGGGTGATGTGGTCAGCATCACGCCGGCCGCATTTACTCCCAGGACTGCTCGGTACCCACTCAAGACTTTATCGACCTGGGAGCCAGTCATTTTTGAAAAACGTCCGGCCCCTGTCGTGAATCGAACCCACGACCTTCCTATCCGCAGGCGAGCGTCTAGCCGCTAGACCACGTCGGTTAAATACAGCAGTAATGTTACCAACTTAAAAACACTTACTTGGGTATGGGTATCCACTCATGATTTATTGAAAAGATGGTATGATTAAATGTATACTTGGTAGTTCTTAGTTGTTCTTTCAGTTTTAACGTAAGTTCTTGAGTTTGCTTTCTTTTTGAGTTTTCTTTCAGGTTCTTGGTAGGCTTAAGTTTTTGGATTTTCTTTCAGTTGCTTGTTATCTTCTTTGGTTTTCTCTCAGCTTCTCTCTTATAAACTAGTCGACTGAATTTTTTGACTGTGTAGTATCTTTTTGGTTTCCTGCTGCTTCTACTATTGTGGCGAGTCGGAGCAGTCGACCAGTTGGTTTTGATCTTCATACAAATATCGTGCTATTTATGTACTTTCTGTGTTGTTTATCTATTTGATAACAGGAAAAAAGTATGTACCGAACTACACACATGACCCCCCCCCCCCTGTTCCCCCCCCCCTTTTTTTTGTTACAAAGTATTGCAGTAAGCGAGTTGTTAAAGAAAGGCTTTATTGTTCGCAATTTGTTATCGATTTGTTATCACGTAGATCATATATGTAGTTCTAATTAACTCTCATTTTCCCATATGTAACTCACATCTAAAACTAACAACACACTGCAGGTGCGGCGCCGTGAAGACAATCTTTGGTTCCCCCTTCCCTCGGGCGGGGGGAGGGGTGGTGCTCACTCCTCTATCTCGCCTCCCCCCCCCCTCTCGTGAAAAAATAGGGGGAAAAGTGGGGGGTGGGCGAGGTTGGTCTATATTTTAAATTGTGCTGTCTTAGGAACAAATGTCATTGTGAAGAAGAAGGCAAACTGACCGATTGGTTGTTGTCTGACTGAATGGTTGTCTGACCGATTGGTTGTTGTCTGACCGATTGGTTGTCTGACTGAATGGTTGTCTGACCGATTGGTTGTTGTCTGACCGATTGGTTGTTGTTTGACCGATTGGTTGTCTGACCGATTGGTTGTCTGACCGATTGGTTGTCTGACCGATTGGTTGTCTGACCGATTGGTTGTCTGACAGATTGGTTGTCTGACTGATTGGTTGTCTGACCATTTGGTTGTCTGACTGATTGGTTGTCTGACTGATTTGTTGTCTGACTGATTGGTTGTCTGACCGATTAGTTGTCTGACTGATTGGTTGTCTGATTGGTTGTCTGACTGATTTGTTATCTGACTGATTGATTGTCTGACCAATAGGTTGTCTGACCGATTGGTTGTCTGATTGGTTGTCTGACCGATTGGTTGTCTGACTGATTGGTTGTCTGATAGGTTGTCTGACCGATTGGTTATCTGACTCATTGATTGTCTGACCAATATGTTGTCTGACCGATTGGTTGTCTGATTGGTTGTCTGACCGATTGGTTGTCTGACTGATTGATTGTCTGACCGATTGGTTGTCTGACTGATTGATTGCCTGGGTGATTAGTTAGAGCATGTTGTTCGCCATCTTTTTGCCTTTCCCAACGATAATATTTAATTGTGTTCTTGAAGGGTTATAGACTGAACAAATTCAAACCCTCCAATGTGTTCTTGAAGGGTTACAAACTGAACAAATCTAAACCTTCCATTCTGTTCTTGAAGGGTTATAAACTGAACAAATGTAAACCTTCCATTGCGTTCTTGACGGGTTATAAACTGAACAAATGTAAACCTTCCATTGTGTTCTTTAAGGGTTATAAACTAAATATATGTAAAGCTGAAAGACCATATTCCCGTCAGTGGTTCGATAGTCTTTCCTTTCGCCCCGGTATCCCGCAACACCGACCAGTGAAGTTGATTTATTTACTCATAGTTCAGAAACCAGCAGGATGTGCGAGACTGGCAGTAAAACTTCCCATCTGAGGAGAGGCATTTCAAGGCTGACCAGTTCATGATGACTGGCTGGAAGGTTTTCTGTATGTAGTAAGGTAAATCACATCATGTGATTAACGAGAGAGAGAGAGAGAGAGAGAGAGAGAGAGAGAGAGAGAGAGAGAGAGAGAGAGAGAGAGAGAGAGAGAGAAACATTCATAGACAGAGAGAGAGAGAGACAGACAGACAGACAGACAGACAGACAGACAGACAGACAGACAGACAGACAGAGAGACAGAGAGACAGAGAGACAGAGAGACAGAGAGACAGAGAGACAGAGAGACAGAGAGACAGAGAGACAGACAGAGAGACAGACAGACAGACAGACAGACAGACAGACAGACAGACAGACAGACAGACAGACAGACAGACAGACAGACAGACAGACAGACAGACAGACAGACAGACAGACAGACAGACAGACAGACAGACAGACAGACAGACAGACAGACAGACAGACAGACAGACAGACAGACAGACAGACAGACAGACAGACAGACAGACAGACAGACAGATAGATAGATAGATAGATAGATAGATAGATAGATAGATAGATAGATAGATAGATAGATAGATAGATAGATAGATAGATAGATAGATAGATAGATAGATAGATAGATAGATAGATAGATAGATAGATAGATAGATAGATAGATAGATAGATAGATAGATAGATAGATAGATAGATAGATAGATAGATAGATAGATAGATAGATAGATAGATAGATAGATAGATAGATAGATAGATAGATAGATAGATAGATAGATAGATAGATAGATAGATAGATAGATAGATAGATAGATAGATAGATAGATAGATAGATAGATAGATAGATAGATAGATAGATAGATAGATAGATAGATAGATAGATAGATAGATAGATAGATAGATAGATAGATAGATAGATAGATAGATAGATAGATAGATAGATAGATAGATAGATAGATAGATAGATAGATAGATAGATAGATAGATAGATAGATTATGTGTTTGTGTGTGTTGTTCTTTTCATTTACAAAATTCCTGACAAGATCAGGCAAATTTCACAGCACAAGAATGAGTTAATGAGTTTCCTACCCTCCCTTTCCGATTACATGTATATTTGAACATGTGACAAGTGAGTCACTGAGACTATGTGCACACGAGATGACAAACGAACTACTGTAGGTTGGCGATATCGCACATTTAGGCTAAATATTTATAACGATACTTAAAGATAACACCCCGTCGCAGTAGATATTACGCGTGTGTTGCAATGTTTCGATAAGCCCTATTTGTTGTTTATAGATACTGTAACGCAGATAACAGCCCGTGTTTTAGCTGCGTTGTAAATAATGAACATTATATAGACACCTTCTCTGTCTGTGAGTGGTTATTGATTAATTGTTAGATATGCAGTTCTAGATTGTAATTGCGTAAGCTAGTTGTATGCAAGTCATGTTTCGTAATAAAGTGTCAAATTTGGTGAATCAAAGGTTTTGGGGTTTTGAACAACGGATCAACATCATGGCACACGGGTAGTAACCCATAAGTGCCCCGTTCTTCTTCTAACTCAAGTCTGAGACTGAAAAAGCTCAGCACAGTGTACAGGCTCTGTAGCACCGGCGAGGAGCCTGGCTACTCATTTCGATTTCCAACTGCCAAGGGATTTTTTACGTGCGCAACGATGCGTCCGATCTCGCTACTCGGAGACCAGGGGAAATTACTAGAAGTCCAAATCCACGTGACAAAATCCCAGCCCTTACCGGGGATTTAACCCGGAACCTCTAGCACTCGAGGCGGATACCATGCCTCGAGAGCACGCAGCTCCCTGTATGCAAGTCGTGTTTCGTAATAAAGAGTCAAATTCTAGTGAATCAAGAAGTGAAGAAAAGACGCTGACGTTGGATAGTACACAGTCGGAGAAAACCTGAGAAGAATGAAACCAGAAGGGCTTTACATTGGAACCACCAGGGGCATTGGGAACCACAGAGTGAAGTTAAAGATGGGGAGGACATGAGGCGAGCTGCATGCGATAGGAAAGGATAGGACGATCTGGCAGAAGTTGGTTGAGAACCTTTGCTGCACTGGGGGAGGGGGGAGGGGGGAGGGGGGGGTGAGGTAAAGGCTAGGAGAAAAAATAATTGTTTACGGTATGTTGTTTGTCTTCTTTTCGTTTTTCCAGTTGATAGTATTCCATTGTTTTCTTGAAAAACTGTTAACTAAAAAGCGTTGCACACGGCACGAACTCTGTAGCTCCGGCGATTATCCCCAGGTCTCCTGAAAATTTCTGTCAACTAAACAAATGTAAAGCTGAAAGACCATTTTAAGGTCAGTGGTTAATCAGACATATGGTTCTAGACCAGTATTTGTATACACAAATCGATACCCAATCGGTGATGGGTCAACGTCACGCTGGCCGCCAATACTTTCCATGATATTTCCTGGCAAACTATTTTAGCCTGGCCAGACCCGTCAGAGAGATTCAACATTATCGCCTAACCTAGTCCGCACAGCGTTGATGATATCAGCTCTGCCTTTGCTTCTGCCCGTTCGCATTGGTGCATTACTTGCCATCTGGTTAGCTCTTCCATTACCGCAATAGTAGCAACAGCAGCAGCAGCAGCAGTAGTAGTAGTAGTAAGTAGTAGTAAGTAGTAATAGTTAGTAGTAGTAGTAGTAGTAGTAGTAGTAGTAGTAGTAGTAGTAGTAGTAGTAGTAGTAGTAGTAGTAGTAGTAGTAGTAGTAGTAGTAGTAGTAGAAATAGTAGTTAGAGGTTAATAGCAGTAGTAGTAGTTAGTAGAAGTGTAGTTAGTAGTAGTAGTAGTAGTAGTAGTAGTAGTAGTAGTAGTAGTAGTAGTAGTAGTAGTAGTAGTAGTAGTAGTGAGTAATAGCAGTTAGTAGTAGTTAGTAAAAGTTGTTAGTAGTAGTAGTAGTAGTAGTAGTAGTAGTAGTAGTAGTAGTAGTAGTAGTAGTAGTAGTAGTAGTAGTAGTAGTAGTAGTAGTAGTAGTAGTAGTAGTAGTAGTAGTAGTAGTAGTAGTAGTTGTTGTTCTTCTTGTTGTGCTTGTTTTTGCTAAACAATTAAGTGAGCTCAATAGTTTTTATCATCACCATTTTAATTCAATAGTTTGGAAGACATGGTTGACACGTTACACAAATAAGTAATTTCTTATGCAAGGCATATTGTCATAAGTCTGTCATAATACATAAACATGA